ACAAAATCAACATACAAAAATCAATAGCATCTCTATACACCAATAATGAAATCAGTTAAAAAGAAATTAAGAAGGCAATCCCATTCACAATAGCAATAATAAAAATAAAATTCCCAGGAGAAAATTTAACCAAGGAATTGGAAGACTTCTACAAAGAAGACTACAAAATACTGATGAAAGAAATTTAAAAAGACAAAAACAAATGGTAAGACATCCTATGCTCACAAATCAGAATTAACATTGTTAAAATGACCATACTACCCAAAGCAATCTACAGATTCAAGGATATCTGTGATATCCTTCTGTGAAGGATTTTTTCACAGAAATAGAAAAAACAATCATACAATTCATATGAAACCAAAACAGAGCCTGAATAGCCAAAGCAATCCTGAGCAAAAAGAACAAGGAGGCATCAGGCTACCTGACTTCAAAGTATATTACAAGGCTATAGTGACCAAAACAGCATGGTACTGGTATAAAACCAGACACATACATCAATGGAACAGATTAGAGAACCCAGAAATAAATCCATGTACTTACAGCAACTGATTTTTAACAAAGGGGCTGAGAACATATATTGGGGAGAGGACAGACACCCTCTTCAATTAATGGTGCTGTGAAAACTGGATATCTATATGCAGCAGATTGAAACTGGATCCCTGTCTCTAAGCACAAAAATCAACACAAATGCCTTAAAGACTTAAACATAAGACCTAAAATGATAAAGCTACTAGAAGAAAACATGGGGAAAACGCTTTAAGACACGGTCTAGGCAAAGTTTTTATGGCCAAGATCTCAAATGCACAAGCAAGAAAAAAATAAACAAATGGTATTATATTAAACTAAAAAGCTTCTGGGCTGGGAATGGTGGTTCACACCTGTAAACCTACCACTGTGGGAGGCCAAAGTGGGAGGATCACTTGAGGCCAGGAGTTTAAGACCAGCCTGGGTAACACAGCACGATCCTATCTCTACAAAAAATGTTTTAAAATTAGCCAGGCCTAGTGATACAAACCTGTAGTCTCAGTTACTCGGGGGGCTGAGGCAGGGGGATCGCTTGAGCCCAGGAATCTGAGGCTGCAGTAAGCCATGATCATGCCACTGTACTCCAGCATAGGTGACAGAGACCCCAACTCAAAATGTAAAAATAATAAGCCTCTGCATAGCAAAAGACATAATCAACAGAGTGGACAGACAACTTGTTGACTAGAGAAAATACATGCAAACTATTCATCCAACAAGCAGCTAATACACAGAATATACAAGGAACTGAAAGCAGTCAACAGTAAGAAAACAAAAAATCCCATTTAAAAATGGGCAAAGGACATAAACAGACATTTCTCAAAAGGCATACAAATAGCCAACAGCTATATGAAAAAATGTTCAACATCACTAATCATCAGGGAAATGCAAATCAAAACAATAATGAGAACACCTCACCCAGTTAGAATGGCTACCATAAAAAGACAAAAAATAACGGATGCTGCCAAGAATGCAGAGAAAAGGGAACTCTCATACATTGTTGGCAGGAATGTAAATTAGTACAGCCACTATGTAAAACAGTATGGAGATTTCTCAGAAAACTAAAAATAGAACTACTACACAATCAAAATCAGTATATCAAAGGGATACCTGTACCCTCATGTTTATTGCAGCACTATTCACAATAGTAAAGATATGGAATCATACCAAATGTGCCCATCTACAGATAAATTAATAAAGTAAGTATGGGGTATGTGTGTGTGTGTGGAGAGAGGGACAGGGATAGGGAGAAGGATGGGGAGAGGGAGAGGGATAGGGAGAGGGAGAGGGAGAAGGATGGGGAGAGGGTGAAGGATGGGGAGAGGGAGAGGGAGAAGGATGGGGAGAGGAAGAGG